TGAGGGGGGGGGGGGCAATTATCAATGTTCATGGCACGATATGGATAATTATTTTTTTTAATCAAAAATGCGTCCATGTACTATTCGTACTAGACATGCCACGGGCAAAGAGATTTTTGTGCACGATGAGGCCCAAACGCAAAGTTGAAGGAGATGACCACTTATGACGCTGAAAGTGGCAGACGGAGCCGCGCGGCGAGCAATAGGTTCTGAATGCGTCTGTACGCGCTCCACTGCCGCTGACGCACACGGCAAGCCGGGCACTGGGCCTGAATTCCTGCTAAAAAAGTTACAAACTTGTCACCGTATCGAGCGTAGCTCGTATACTGAACAAGTATATTGTCTAGAATAAAAATAATTAAAGACCGTCAACGGGAAAAATCATAGTACGTTCTATACGTCTGAGTGTACAGAACATTCATGTAAATTCACGAGTGCCTGAGATCATGCGTGTAAAAGTTGTACGCAGTTTTTTTATGTGTGGTTATTGTAGGAGGCGCACGGACATGCAGATATGTGCAGCTCAGCAGCACTTTTCCACGCATGCTCACAGAGATTTGTAGATTTACACTAATATTCTATGGGACACCACGAATACAATACATTATAGCTTATCTCGTTGACGGCCTTTGTTAATAATTTTTAAACAAGCTGCAAGTTGAAACTTATAATTTGCTTCCACCGAATCGTAAGTAGTGTACGAAGTCCTTATATGAGGAAGCATTTTCATTTTTTTTAATCTTTGGCTTCCTCATAGATGAATTTTCATCTACTACCCACGATTCAGAGGAAGCAAATTGCAAAATTAAAATTCTTGGCATCCTCATATAGGGACTTGGTACACTACTTACGATTCGGAGGAAGCAAATTGCAAAATTAAAATTCTTGGCATCCTCATATAGGGACTTGGTACACTACTTACGATTCGGAGGAAACAAATTGCAAGTTTCCACTTGCAGCTTGTTTAACGTGAGTCCCCATGCCTCTCACAACTTGGGGTGCTTCATACTGTAGAGAACGCCTCATATAGGGACTTGGTACACTACTTACGATTCGGAGGAAGCAAATTGCAAGTTTCAACTTGCAGCTTGTTTAACGTGAGTCCCCATGCCTCTCACAACTTGGGGTGCTTTATACTGAGAGAACGCATGTAAGGATAAATCTCTTGCATGATCTCTTCGGGCCTAATATTTTTGAATTGGCTGAAATTCAAAAACTTGAAGATATGTATAATCAGATCCGTTTTACCAATCTCCGCCAAATTTGAGACATATCACGGCTAAATGATACTCTATTCTAAGTACTCTATTCTAAATGATACTCTAGCTAAAACAGTTCTCGAGTTATACACGTTTAAATTTTGGGAGGCCATTACACACACACACACACACACACACACACACACCCGGACATTTTCTCCAAACGTGTTTTCTCGACGTTTTGGCACATTCTGAAAATGGTGACATGAAAATCTCGACAGGAAAATTTTCCACCGTCACATAGCTTCCTCTATGAGGAAGCAAAAAATTAACGACTCGCCATCGCACCGAGCATTGCTCGTATACTGCACAAGTATTTTATTTAAAAAAATAAATAAAGCTCGTCAATGGGAAAAACCAAAGTATGTTTTATTCGTTTCCGTGTACAGAATATTCGTGTAAAGTCACGAGTACCATAGATCATGCGTATAAAAATGGTAAGCTGTTTTCTATGTAACGCTGTTACAGCAAGCGCAAGCATATACAAATCTGTGAAACTGAACAGCACTTCCACATGTACACCCATAGCAACTTGCAGATTTACACTAATATTCTATGTGCGAAAAAAATTCAACGACATGTGATTTATCCCGTTAACGGCCTGTTAATAAAAAACATGGAAATTTGTACTCGTACGTGACATAGCTCACATACTTGACCTTTATATTATTTAGAAAATAAATAAAGGTCGTTAATAGGAAAAATCATTGTGCGTTGTATTCTTCTGTGTGTACAGAATATATTTGTGTAAACTCATGAGTGCCTGATATCGTGCGTTTAAAAATTGCACCCGATTTAGTATGTCATTGACGTTGTTGCTAGTGTTCCACGAATACCAAGTCTTTCCGACTTCATACTACTTGCATACACATGATTCCATCCAGGTGACTTGATTTTCTCATCTCAGATCACTTCGGAAATTCTTTTCTTCAACGCTTGGGAACGCTTGAGAAGTGTAGGTCACTTACTGAATCTATCATTTTTTCGAAATGGCGACATACAATTTTTTGAGGAACCAAAAACGTTGACCAAAAAATGTTTTTACATGTATTGAATTTGCATCATAGAAATTAGTTTTGTTTCATGAATTTATCATTCTAGTAAATACCTACCTTCATCAAGTTCGCGCTGACCAAATAAACAACTCATTTATGTTTTCGAAAAGTTCTTTTCTTATATTTTTATTTCATGGATGAAATTAAGATACAAAATTGCACACTTAGTTTCGATTTGTTTTCTACGGTTGATATATCACGATGTAATTAGTAATCAATCTGATATCACAGGCTTTTATTACTATAAAACTAATATCACATCGTATAATGTCTTCATTAATTCAGCAGTGCTTCTTATAAATATTGGAGCACTTGCAATAGAAATTAATTTGGTATCGACGTTAGGATTCGATTTTTTTCCCATAGTAGAAATTAATTTTCTTCTATGAAGTTTAACTTTCTAGTAAATATATTCCTATTTTCACAGAGTTCGTCTTGACTAGATAAACTTTTTTGCTTAGGAAAAAAAAATTTTCTTCTTTTTTTTACTTTGCAGATAAAGTGAACGAACGAAATACCATATTGTCAGATTTCAACTGTTGCACGATTAATATCACAAAGTGACGGACAAGAAGTCCGATATCACGATATTCGAAATCCGCTTACGGTCCTCTAAAATTAATATCACTTAATACAAATACTTAATTAATTTACAACCCTGCTTATAACTGTTGAAAAACTCACGATAGAAAACAATTCAATATAAATTTCAGGAACGTTTTTGTACATAAGTAGTCGGTGTTTTTATATATTGAGTATTAGCTTTTCTGTAGTGCGCTTTGTGCCCTCTCAAAGTTTCGCAATTTCACTCAGCACTCTTATTGATGCTGCAAATACAAGAGTCGAGTCGAAATTTAGTGACGGGTGGCGAGATAGGTTAATCGAATGAACAATATTTTTAATTTCAGGAACTGTGCCGTAGGAGTCAAACATGGCATCCTTAGTTTGTAAGCGCTTGAGAATTGTCTTGTTGATAGGAAAGTCCAAAAGAAACCGTGCCACTCCTTTCCGAGCTGTGTTCATATGTTCCTCTTCAAATGGCACAATGGAGCTGCTAACGATAGTATAGGCCCACATGCATACGTGCATTCCACAGTTTCCTCCAATATTACCGTTTTCTTTCATCTGGTGTGGCATGTCAGTAGGTGCCGATAGTACCCACTGACTCCAGTTAGTCAGTTTAGCTTGTCGAGCCGTTCGGGAACTTCCAATAAAACTGCAGATTCTGTTTATTAGAGACTTTGGTGGCAAATGGTGACACGAATCGAAATATATCATTATATAATGCGTTAGTAATACAACGAGCAATGTCCAGTGATTCTGATCAATCAAAACTGGCAACAGCCAGACGTCATACTTTGCTGGTTGAACTTTCTTGGCCCAGTTGGTAAATCCAATACTTTTTTCGCCGACCATTAACTTGGTGGTGAAATACGATTCAAAGGACAGCAAGTTCAAGCTGCTTCTTGCAGTTATCTCTTGGAGGGCTATAAAGAAAGAATTAATTAGCTCGCCATCCATATACTTGTCCGGTAGCAATGTGCTGAAAATTCCTTGATTGAGTGGAATGCCACCGAAATCTTTGATGTGGTTGGGAAAATTCGAGGGATACGATTTTTGTTTCAAAAATCTATCTTCAATATCTTCGTAAAACGAAGAGTAATCGATAAACTCACTCGAATCTTCAACGTTTAGCTCTTCGTCTAAATCTCCACATGGTGGTAATGGTTGTGCCTTCTCTTTGACAGGTACTTCAGATTCGTAGATTATTTTTTCTTTTAACTCTTCTCTGAGTAATTGGTCGGTCATGACTGTGCTATTATCAATATATTTTTCCGCGGGAAAGTATATATTGCCCTTTCGCTTCTTAGATCTGGCGGGTTTCCACTGCTCGATCGCTTGATCTTCTTCATCGTTATCCGTCGCGCTACGTTCTCTTCGTTGTCTGATCGTTATTAACGAATATTCCCTTTCCTGTAGCCACCCTTTAATCAGCGATTGCATTTTACGAAAGAAACGTGGTGCTTGAATATTCAGCTTTTTCTTGAAAACGTTTTCTTTAATAATTTTAAAATAATTTTCAACCGACGCATTGCAATCACGCCGCAGACTCAATTTACTTATTATAACTGCCGACCAAAGAGGATAGTACGGCAAAATGTATTCTAAGAGATAATGAACAAAACTATTCGAGTAAAAGCAATTCTTGCAAGGAAACCCCCCCAACCTGACCCCACCGATTTCAATAATTTTTTGATATGTTGTAGTACTCGACAAAATAAGAGACACGTATTTTTTTATGTGCTGACATCCACTTTAAAGGGGTGAAAACGACCCCTGAAATTCACCCCCGAAAATCGTTTTTTCATCATATCTCGACTTCTAATTAATATTTTTTAATAAAACCAAGTGAAAAATATTTGTCATAAGAAGTCGAAGATATGAGGTGTGTTTATGACCCAAGGGGTTACAACCCTTATTTTATATTTTGAAAAAACTATATTTTTTATGCTCTTTTTCTGCATAAAAACCGGGGTATGCGCTCAAAAAAATAAAGAAAAGCGTTTCCGTTAACTCCATCAAATATTTCAATTTGGGTGTTTCAGGATTTTTCAAAGGGATAAAAACCACCCCTAAATTTTACCCCCGAAAATTGTTTTTTATCATATGTCAGATTCTAATTGATATTTTTTAATAAAACCAAGTGGAAAATATTTGTCATAAGAAGTCGAAGATATGAGGTTTGTTAATGACCCAAGGGGTTGCAACCCTTATTTTATATTTTGAAAAAACTATATTTTTTATGCTTTTTTTCTTTATATAAACCAGGGTATTGGCTCAATATTTATTAATATTTTTTAATGGAACTATGATTAAAAATTATTTTTATAAGATTTATTTCTTTTTCTTCTCTTTTTATAATTAATTGTAAGTCACAGTATTTTATTCTTCAAAGTGTTGACAATAATGATTATCTTCAAAAAAGTGCTTAAAACATAAAGACTTCATTGCACTTGCACCTCCTTCAACTGCTAATGTTCTTCCAGAATGCATTTCTAATTGGAACCCACTCTGATCTGAATTATATAAATTTTCAATTCCAATTGATGATATAGAAGATTTCACATCAGCAACAAACATATCAGCCATCATTTGGAGGCCTAAAGTATCTGTACATTACAAGAATCCCCAAAAGAGAACTCAACAGGATTTTCAAATTTATCTGGTTTTTCATTAATGTAACCACTTTTGTACCAGGAATATTTAAACATATTCTTATATCTCGGCAAGGAAAGCTGATTATGAACTAGAGATTGCATTTTTATGATGTTATTTCTCAAATGTAAATTTAAGTCATAATTCATCAAAGTCACTTGATCTGAAAAATGTCGTACAAAGTTTTTCCATATGCGAAATCCATATACATCAAGTGGTTGAATTTTTCCTGTTGTTCCTGTTGGTATTTTTTTTTACATTAACAATTTTATTTTCTGGAATCGTTTCTTCTATAACTTTATCACAGTGTCCACTCCAGGAATCGAGTAATAACATAGATTGAGCACCTACATGTGGATAAAATACTTTTTCTAACCAAACTTTGAAGATATCTGTAATCAAAAAATATATTTATCACCTCATTTTCTTTATTATTGCACTATAATAAACAAAAATTTACTCACCTGTAGTTAATTTTCCAGATCTTGATGCTTCTACATACACGTTTTCTGGTCTAAATAAGTTTTTTTCTACAACAGGGCCAAATTGACCAGTTGATTCTTTTAAAACAAGAAAAAGCGGTGAGAGAAGTTGTCCAGTAGCTGATATAAGTGGTTGTATAGTGTAACTATGCGTTGTTGATGAAACTGACTGTACTAGGCATTGCACTTGCTTTTCTCCTTCAACTGCTAATGTTCTTCCAGAATGCATTTCTAATTGGAACCCACTCTGATCTGAATTATATACATTTTCAATTGCAATTGATGATGTAGAAGATTTCACATCAGCAACAAACATATCAGCCATCATTTGGAGCTCTAAAGTATTTTCCAATGTTTTCCTAGTAATAAATTTATTTATTTTTCTAGACACTATTCTGTGAGCCTTTTTGAATTTCGCTAACCAATTGTTAGAAGCTTTAAATCTTACATCTTCAGATCCAATTTCTTGATGTATATGGATTTCGCATATGGAAAAACTTTGTACGACATTTTTCAGATCAAGTGACTTTGATGAATTATGACTTAAATTTACATTTGAGAAATAACATCATAAAAATGCAATCTCTAGTTCATAATCAGCTTTCCTCGCCGAGATATAAGAATATGTTTAAATATTCCTGGTACAAAAGTGGTTACATTAATGAAAAACCAGATAAGTTTGAAAATCCTGTTGAGTTCTCTTTTGGGGATTCTTGTAATGTACATTGCGAAATAGAAGGATGTAACAATATTGCTATTATACGATGTGGTTGGTGTAAGAAGTCTTTATGTTTTAAGCACTTTTTTGAAGATAATCATTATTGTCAACACTTTGAAGAATAAAATACTGTGACTTACAATTAATTATAAAAAGAGAAGAAAAAGAAATAAATCTTATAAAAAATAATTTTTAATCATAGTTCCATTAAAAAATATTAATAAATATTGAG